AGCTTTTGTGAGTTTTTAATAAAATTAATTAGTCAGAAAAGGTACTACCAGACACCTAGTTGGGAAAGGAGGCTCTGACTTTGACTAATTTGAGAAAATCACAAACCTTTGTAGCCTTCCAAAATCAATGTTTATGGGGACCAGTTTATCTCAAGAATGAGTCAGCACAAAGAAAGGCCCCAGTTTTAGGCTTTGTGGGCTGGGGGATTTTATGGGGAAAAATTGCTGCTTGAATTTTACACTCTAAAAATACAATCTTCCTAAATATCAAACCCACTTTGGGTTCTGCCTGCACTAACATGCATGATGCAGCCCTTGAACCAATGACAGTTGTATATCCTGGCACTAACAACTTATATTTCAAGCTTTAGTTCACTAAATTTCTATGAGGAACTTATTTACATTCCAATTAATTTGTCATTGGAACAGTGACAATAGTGACATACTGTCACTGATATAGCACTGACCTTTTATAATAAAGGAACTCCATGTGCTTGCAGAGAATCTCCTTTAATTTGAGTGTCTGCCTTAGCTCAGTTCATGGCCTGGATATGTAAAATTACAGCTGAGAATAGCTGTGCATTAAAAATCAATAATCAGATTTATGCATCTGAGCAATATAGGTCTTCTGCCAAGAAGGAGGAAAAGAAAAACTGGTATTTGTCCACAGTCTGCACACTAAGCCAATTTGCATAGATTCTGGTTCTATTTGTCATTAAATTCTGGTTCTATTTATCATTAGAGGAACCAATCCTTCCCAACAAATGACTCTGGATTTTTACCAAGCAGGGTAAAATTGTCACCTGCTTAGGTGAGCCTTGTGGGGTAAGGACTTGGGAGAAAGTAACCAGTCTCTGCCTGTCCCTCTTCCAATTGAAGGTGTGTTACAAGTGGGGCAAAGGCACTGGAAGAAGGGATGTTTTTTAATATTTCTAACAGGAAGCTGGGTAAGGCTCTCAGCCCCATAAACCAGAGTTCCTCAACCTTGGCAACTTTAAGACGGGTGGACTCCAACGCCCAGAATTCCCCAGCCAGGGTGGCTGGGGAATT